GCCAATTTAGCTAGCCTGTATTCTCACTAATTTATCTAGCCTGTATTCTCACTAATTTATCTAGCCTGTATTCTCACTAATTTATCTAGCCTGTATTCTCACTAATTTAGCTAGCCTGTATTCTCACTAATTTAGCTAGCCTGTATTCTCACTAATTTAGCTAGCCTGTATTCTCTCTAATTTAGCTAGCCTGTAATCTTGCCAATTTAGCTAGCCTGTATTCTCACTAACTTATCTAGTCTGTATACTTATTCATTTAGCTAATTTAGCTAGCCTGTAATCTTGCCAATTTAGCTAGCCTGTATTCTCACTAATTTAGCTAGCCTGTATTCTCACTAATTTAGCTAGCCTGTATTCTCACTAATTTAGCTAGCCTGTATTCTCACTAATTTAGCTAGCCTGTATTCTTTCTAATTTAGCTAGCCTGTATTCTTTCTAATTTAGCTAGCCTGTATTCTCACGAATTTAGCTATCCTGTATTCTCTCTAATTTAGCTAGCCTGTATTCTCACTAATTTAGCCAATTTAGCTAGCCTGTATTCTCACTAATTTAGCTAGCCTGTATTCTCTCTAATTTAGCTAGCCTGTATTCTCTCTAATTTAGCTAGCCTGTATTCTCACTAATTTAGCTAGCCTGTATTCTTTCTAATTTAGCTAGCCTGTATTCTTTCTAATTTAGCTAGCCTGTATTCTCACGAATTTAGCTATCCTGTATTCTCTCTAATTTAGCTAGCCTGTATTCTCACTAATTTAGCCAATTTAGCTAGCCTGTATTCTCTCTAATTTAGCTAGCCTGTAATCATTCTAATTTAGCTAGCCTGTATTCTCACTAATTTAGCCAATTTAGCTAGCCTGTATTCTCACTAATTTAGCTAGCCTGTATTCTCACTAATTTAGCTAGCCTGTATTCTCACTAATTTAGCCAATTTAGCTAGCCTGTATTCTCTCTAATTTAGCTAGCCTGTAATCATTCTAATTTAGCTAGCCTGTATTCTTACTAATTTAGCCAATTTAGCTAGCCTGTATTCTCACTAATTTAGCTAGCCTGTATTCTCACTAATTTAGCTAGCCTGTATTCTCACTAATTTAGCCAATTTAGCTAGCCTGTATTCTCTCTAATTTAGCTAGCCTGTATTCTCTCTAATTTAGCTAG